AGTCAAATGTTAATATTATTTGCAAATAATTTTTAGTCAAATATTTGTATTTTTTTAAGCTTTTTTTCCCTTATGAGCTTAGCTTGTTTTTATTATAAATTTATCTATTTAGGTGTGATCACCCTAATGAGGTTTCCATTGTTTTTGTGCCAGCTACTTTTTTGCTTTTTGCAAAAGGAAAAGGCATATCTCTTAAATATTAAAATTAATATAATTTAATCATCTTTAAATACACTGAAAAATGGGTCTGTGAAGTCGTAAATAAAACAGACATTATTAGGTTACATTTTACAAGAAAATACTATTTCAGTCTTTCTACTTCAAAATGTCATGTTTAATTCAGTGTTATTTTTTTTGTGTTATTAATTGTGAAATTTACTAGCAATTTCTGAGTGAAAATTGTTTTCACACCAAATTTTCTTAGTGTAACTTAAGTGTAGTTTGCCATATTCTGATAGATGTCTGTAGAATTGCAGACTAACTGTAATTGAATTGCTTTAAATTATGAGTAGCTTGTTGACAAGCTACAGTTTCAAAGCTTCCCGACATGGCCTGTGTTCTTATTGGAGGGTAAATTAATGCCTGATCTAAGGGCAGGGGACAGTAGCGAAGACACGGCCGGGTGATGCGTGTATCTCCGACAGAGAGACAGATTGTGCTGTGCATCACCACAGACTTCATCAGCTGCACTGAACTGATGATATATGTGAGACGCTGAAGGTGAAGAGGCCTCTCTCTCTCTCTCTCTCTGTCTGTACACCCCCATGAACCGGTCGCCCGTGTGAAGAGAGAAAGAGGCTGCCAGCTACACAGCCTGACTGATTGCTACAGATGCTCTTCCTCAAGTACCGCGAGTTACATCCTCACCACAGCAGGTCTTCGGGGACAAACAATAGCACCTGTTCCTCATAAGATGGGGCTCGTTCATGTATCTTTAATGAAGCTTTGGGGCAGATGGCAAGAAATGGCATTATCCCATCCTCTCGTTCTAAGGATTTGATAGACAAAGGGCAGATAGGAGGCAGGCCTACAATGAGGTGAGTTTATGAGGTTCCGAGCTTCCAGAGGCCTGAGCTTTCCTCCTCACATCTGCTCCACTTCATTCTTTCACGCTCTTGAAGAACTGACTGGCAATACTAATGCTGCATGCAGCCAGCTGCCTGGCACACTGACGGAGGGAGGGGCAAAATATCAGGGCACAGATACACAAATACGGGTGAGCATACATGTTCATACATACCATGAGTACCATATATATATATATATATATATATATATATATGGCAGTAGAAATGGATAAACTACTATAGACTAGTTTACAACGCAGTAGATACTTTTATGTGAACCAGACTGCTTTATGAGACACAACACAAAGTGAAGTTTAGTTGTTTATGGGGAAGAGTTTGAAGAGTTTCCTTGCTGTGTGTATATTTTGTATGAGCAGGTGTGTGTATATTATTATTCATTTGTTGAGAATGATCTTATTTTTTATGTTTCTATCAAGTTATGTCTATGTTGTGTAAGTGTGTATAGTTTTGCACTTGCACTTGGCATTCATTGTGGACAGCAAAGTAAGAATTTCATTGGTCAGGGAAACTTGTTTTCCTCACTGGTCATATGACAATAAACGCTTTGAATCTTTGAATTTAAATCAATTTATTAATTCATAAATATAAGACATTAATTAAATAATACAAATATAATTATTAATAATTTTAGCTGTAATATAAATATATATAATTTGTGAAGAATTCTTATTTTTTGTTGTGCCTTCTTAAGTTTTGTTTTAATTCATTTTATTAAATGTTTTTATGAATAGATAAATATGAGAAATTAATAAAATAAAAACTATAAATAAAATATATTCACATTTCTAGGAAAAATAATTAAATAATATTTATTTAATATTAATGAGAATATTAACAAATAATTAAATAATACATTTAATAGTAACTAATATTTTTTATTAGTTTATCATGGTTATAATTTTATATTTTATGTACATTTTATAATAATAATAATAATAGTAGTAGTAGTAGTAATAAATCTATTACTGATTTCTACTGTTTGGTATAAATTTTCTCTTGTGTAAGCATGCATGGATGCAAGCATGTTGTGTATGTAAAGACACAGAGGGACAGACAGAGAGATGGATAGATCCAGTGAATGAGAAAGACGGACGCATATAATAAGCGAGCTTCAATGCAGAATGCAATATGCAATTTATCCAACTGTTTAAGTGCAGGCACTTAATTCCATTCAGTGATCATCTTTAAATCTTTATCTGCATTGTCTGCTCAGCTCCACCAGTGTACGTTAATTGACAGGCTTGAAAGTTAACTTTCACTATTAGTCCCCACTTTAAGTACGCTTATTTGATTTGCCACTCACAGATGTGGCATGTGTAAATTAAACTTTAATGTAAAGGCCTCATTACTGCAAATCACGACCTCTCAAACTGAGGGCAAGTTATCTATTTGTACCTTCCCTTTTTCTTTCTCTTGCTGTTTGTGCCTTTTGAAACAGCATTAGGGGAGTGTGTTTGATTAGCAGAGTTATTGTTAGCATTGTTCGTCAATTTGTTTGTTTCACATGATGTCTAATTCTAGGTCGTTTTAAATGATTTAGATTTGAATTAAATAAGACACTGATGATATAGTTTAGGAACAGATGGGATAAGGCATGGCAGACCAGGTGTTTCTGTCATTATGCTTGTGAGCTTTGGTGCAGGACTATGCAAAATGACATGTTAAGGAACAGTTGTGTTTTGGTTCCACTTTAAAAGCAGCTGTTCTGTGTAATACTGCGGCTTTAGACTGATTCGTTTTGCAAGGGTAATGTGAATAAGGCTAATGGCAATTATTTATGTGACTGACCTAAGTGGCCCTCTGAAGGAGAACAATTTACATGGTCAGAGCCATTTTTCTAAAGCACTTAAATGAATCTGAGGTAATATAGGACTGTAGTTGGTGACGTCACAGACATTTTGTTCTCTTTTCTATGTAATAGCCCCTCTCACTCCACTTACATTTTGATTGACCTCACATGCAAGTAAACTATTTCCACAAACACATCCATGAGGTCATGTTAAAGAGCCCTCTGATCTCTCTCATTCATCATTTTTCTGTCACATCTGTAAAATACTCACGCAGTTCTTTCATTTCGGTAGTCTCAACTCTGTAGGTGCACTTTTTAAAGTGCAAAGCTCTGTAAACAGAAAAGTGCAGGATTTTTTTCTATTTATTTTTGCTTAGGAGAACTCACTTAGTCCAAATCACTGAAGTGGACCTGAACACTTGTTTAGCACCTGGGGAACAAGCCCTACTGAACTCTTAACATTAGGCGCTTGAAAGGCGAAAGCAGCATTAAAAAGACGGAGATCACACAGACCTCAGCTAGAAATGCGGAGCAGAAAGTGGTTTCTCAGAGCAGGTTGATTTCATGCCCCAGTGCTGCAGCAGTAATTGCGTCCAGACCGGTTTTTATTGCAGGCTGATTTTAAAGAGCGATGAATGGAGAAACATTCTATAATGTGTTTATTTTGGGGGGGCCGACCTTTATTAACCCATTCTCCGGTTGGGCTCCCCAGAGGTGAGCCGGCTCGCCTGCATTAACTCTGCCCTGGCCCACGGTAGCGCCGCTGCAGCATATCACCCACAGGCAGGAAGCAGAGAATGACAGCAAGACTGGGTCCGGCCAACACTCCAAAAACATGTGTTTTCAAACTTCGATGGGAAGCCGCTCAGATCCCTAAATACACACAGACTCTCTTTTTCTTTGTCTCTAGTTCAGCGTGTCTGTTTTTACTCTTACACAGAGCTAATGTTATCCTTATGCACACCATTAACGTTCTCTCTATTTTGCAATAAAGCAGGAATAAAGATGTTTGAGAGCATTTGAAAGGCACCACACGCGATGCCAGGTGTTGACGTTATACATGAAATATCAGAAATGCACAAGCTTTTGGGCTCATTCCATCTTTTTCACAGCTGAAAACAGGTGCTGTAAATTACCGGTGTCCCTTGGGCATTTATCATGTATATAAATGACTGCTTCACCATTCTTCACTTTACCTCAGGGGAATATACAGGCCACTTTTAGGCTTTCTTTACCTCCTCATAACTTCCTCAGTACATATTTTATCATCGCTTGATTTCCCTGACCAAATCATCACATTGTTTTTAAAGAGCCCACCCCTTTGGATTCAGAGAGCAGAACATCAAGCCCTCCTTGTCAAGACAATTAATTCTGAACACTGTGAAAAATATCAGAAATGCACAAGCTTTTGGGCTCATTCCATCTTTTTCACAGCTGAAAACAGGTGCTGTAAATTACCGGTGTCCCTTGGGCATTTATCATGTATATAAATGACCTTCCAAGAACAAGAGACAAGAGCTGTATTTCTGAGAGGATTCACATTTTCTGTCAGTCTCATGATTAAGTTTTATTAGGAATGTCTACCTGACATCTCTGTTTCTATCTAGTAACATATGCACTGTAGATATTACTCAAACAACCTTAACATGCTAAATCGGGCGTTTGTGATACAAATGAGAATAAACACTCTACTGTTTATGTGTGTGTGATGTTCTCTTTGGTGGGCATTAAGTGCAGGTATTTGGTGAGCGTGTGTGAAGTGGATCAGGGTCAGAATATGAGCAGTGCTGTCAGGCTGTGTTAGGCTCCTGTGTGATCTCCTCTATCTCTGTGTTCAG